CCCGCCGCGTAGGATCGGGCGGCCTCTGTGCGCTTTCGCCCCTCCCTCCCCCCCCCCCGCGCGTTGCTCCCCAACAAGGGTTCTTTATTTTTTTGTTGGGCTTGGCATGCAGGGCCCCGCGAATGGCATAGGGGGGAAACCCCACCTAGCCCGCGGCGGGAAATCCGGAGTTCCCCCAAAATCGTCCAGCTGGCCCGCTGGGATCCAGACGATCTCAAAAAGGGAGGTGTCGACGGGTGTAAAAGGGGCAGGGGCACCCAGCGGACAAAGGGCCACATCCCCGGGGCCCGGGGGGCCATGCCACCCGATCAAATCGACGCGTCCTCGGCCCCACCCGCCCGGGTGTGGATCTGGCCAAAGAGGTTGGGCGCCCGCCAGAAAAGCGCCGCCCCGGCCTTGGCTTGTTTGAAAATACGGAAATCACAAGGATGTTTTTTAAACAATTCAGGCATTCGCTTTCACTTAGCCCGATGGTTTTTTACTGAAAAATCCGATCCAATAGGGTGCCAGGGTGCCCCCGGCGCGTTCCGCCCACACGGGATTCCGGGGGGCCCGGCTCGTCGTCGGGGCCCCCGGCGGCAATAAATAATAATAAATATTGTATTAAATTGGTAAGAAATTATACTTCTAAACTAAAAACCACGGTTTCCGCTGGGCTTTTTGATGGCCCCCCGGCCGAAGCGCGCGCGCGTTTCATTTGCTCAGCCCCCGCCTTTCGGGGGCCGTTGTGCTCAACCCACTGGCCCGCCGCCCCTCTGAAAGAATATCTTTGGATTCAGCGATGTCAGAGCAACATGCTAAAAGATCTGAATAAGTCGGCTCTGTCTAAGGTTTAGGACGCGTAACCTAAGAGAAGCTAAATGTTTAGCCGTTATCTCAGGGCGGTTTTAGCCCCGTTCAAATTTTTTTTTCCCCCCGTTTCGGGCCCCCCATATCCGCACCAATTCTTGGGTCTAGATCCCTCAAAGGCGACTTTATCATTCCCTTAGTTCTTTCTATCTTGCCGAAGAACTTTTCACTGGCCCTAAAAGTTCCTCCGCACAAGCGAATCCTTCTTCTGAACAACAATTTCTTTTTCATTCAGCTCATGTATTGGGAAGTATGTGGTGGTGCAGCTTCCCCGCCCCCCCCTGGCCCCTAGAACCCCCCAGGGGTGCTTTGGGCACTTTAACCAAAACATCAATCATAGAGTTTGATGTGCGAATGTTTTAAGCGTGTATACGGCCTGCTTACCGGTATCCACCTCATGGGTTGCTTTGATCATGGCCAAATTTTCTCTTGTTCAATATCTCTATAAGAACCTGCGTCGGAAATCTGATCTTAAAGGCTGGGATCGAGTAGAAAATTTATCTGGCAGGTAGTAACCGTTAAACTATGCCATGCCGTATTTTCCCTTCCTGAAGTCGCAATAACCCACAAAACCTTGCCTAGCTCATCACAGAACATGCGATTTTTGCGTAAACATCATGTGAACGATGACTACCATCCTGTTGAAGTTTTATTTTGTATGCATTGAGTGTATGTCTGACCGCAGTGACTTAAAAAAACCACCATTAGACATCGGTGAATTAGTAAACCATTCTTACCTTTTTATTTGCATATCGCTGGAATAAGTATTAATCATCAAATTATTACTTTGACATTGGTAATAGGTAAGCAAGGTACTTGGTTGGAACAGGCTGTAATGAATGCGTAGTCACTTCGTCACCAGAAGCTTGGTTGTAGCACAAGCTTCTATAAATCAAAATCTTCTTTGTTTACTTTAAGCAGTGTTTTCTCCATTCTGAAGTTCAGGAATTTAAGGGTAAACGGAAGCGACTTCTGCTTGGTGAAGTAACCCATGGTCTATAAAACACTCCTGTTTTTTCCGCTAAACCGTTCCTTTATTTCATAGGTGGTCATAATGCATAAAAGGGCCCTTGTTTTTTCCGGGCAGGGTCTGCATCTCAAAGGCGTATAAGTGGATACTTTTAAAAACTTTCATTTTTTAAAATCAATATATACCCTTTTATCTAAAGCAAATTCACAAACACTATCTTGTTTCTATTTATTTCATATCTTTCTTTCTAATTTCAATCAATGAATTATGAATTTTATTCTACTGTTTATTTATTATTATTTGTCTTAGAAAACGCTTTTGGTATCTATAGTGGCCTTTGATTCCGCCTTAGCACATATGCTTAACATTTGAATCAATGCAAAATTTCATATCAGATTATTCAAATTGATCCATAATACTTACAACGGTAAGGAATATGCATTTTAACAAAATTGATCTAAGGTAGATTAGCGTCAAATTTATTCTTATTCTCAGTCTTTGTGCTCTATTTAATACAGATTGCCTTCTTATACTTTTTACGCTTTCTTTTACTACACCTGGTCTGGGGCATCACGTTTTTCTTTCCAAAGACTGTTTTTCCAATGGATGTTTTCTTTCTATAATGAAGCAAATGCTTTTAAATGAGCCATGACCTTTAGTTTTTTTCCACAAGTAAATCTGCCCTTAAAAGTGGAAAAGTATGCAACTCTGTGATGTTTGTAGTAATCCAGCCTTTCATTTTGAATGGTAAAAGTCGGGACGCATGCAGTTAATGTTTGATTTAGGACCAACGTTCGTTGTCAACCCTTTTGTTATTATCTTACTATTGAGAAAAGCGTCTTTCATTATTAACATTCAGTATAAAACATTGAGTCATGCCCCTCTAACGCATTTTGGAAATAGTGGAATAATGAAAAGAGCAACTGATAAACTTCCAGTTCTGCTCAGAGTTTTCCAAGGGGTAAATAATACGTATAGTTTTTAGATCTGTGTGAGTCTATGTTTGTCATATATATAGACATATATATACACAAATTACAGATTTCACTGAATATATTTCTACTTGTAATAGTTTAGTAACAAAACAGGAAATTTTCATCCATTTCTCGGTTTTCGCCTTGGTGAGCTTGCTTTTACATACCAGTTTAATAATACTATCAAGTATTGTTCTATCAGGGTGTATGAACTCGTTACTTTTAAAATTTTCAAGTAAAAGGTCCACTTATTGTGTTAGTTTCTGGGGAAAATCACTTAGATCCAACTATTGAGGGAAAATATATCTGTTGAAAAACCTAACAAGGGTTTTAAGAATGAATATTGGTGATTTTTGCTTGATTGTAGCCTAATATATCTACATATTTTTATTTGTTTCGTGTGTATTTACTTATTCAGAACACAATTAGATTGAATACACACATTCATGGACACTCCCAACAGAACGGATAAGGATAATAGTAACTCTGTTGCAATTATTGCCGCTTCAAATGTTGATGGGTATCTAAGAAATGCATCAAAACGATTGCGAATACCTGACCAGAAAGGTGGAAGGGGAACACGGCGTAAGTTGGCGATGGTTACTTCAGTTGTATCAGCCGAGCAGACTTGCGAGACCGATATCGTAGACGATGATTGGGATGAAGTTGCCCTTCCTGCTACTTCTTTAGCCAAGAAAGATCCTGTCAAAGTTGATGTCGACCTTTCGTCTACAGCAGTGAAACCGGAAATTAAACTTCCCATTTTAAAAGATGAGGTTACCGCACCAGCTGAAGTGACAAATGACGCATTTGTAAAGAAGGAAACAATTATGGTTGAAGACGACTTAGCGTCACGTAGCCACGACGGGCAGGACTCTTTCGTGATACAAGGCTCCAAGAAGCCTCTCATTGAACAACCACAGAGAGCATGGCGGCGAAGCGATCCAACGTATGAGGCAATGATAGAGCAACGCGATTTGCTTTCTGCTCAACGAAGATCAGAGCGTATTCGTCGTACTTCAGAATTTGTGTTGAATTTACTTGCTGTCTTGATTCGTGGGCGTTTGCTTTGGCGTGAGTCTCGTCACCTGGGCCTTCTAAAAGCGTTGCTTTCTTTGAAATTTCGAAACAAGGACCAAAATTCTGATTTACAAGGTGAAATAGCGATTTATCATTCAGAAAGAGAGGCAAATTTAGTATCTGAGTCATTTGGAAAACATTTTCCTTTTATTGCCGCTATAAGGACTGTCAAGAAGATTATTTTGGACTCGAAGGCTCCACATCTTTGCAAGACATCCCTTGCTCCAACCTGGGTGACGCTGAATAAGGATACCGTCAATAATAAAACTTCAGAAGCCGTTAGGGTTTTGCTCAAGGTTATACATGATTACTTTGAATTAAAACCAAAAACAGTTGCTCCTGATCAAGTTCTTGAAAGTGCTTCGGCAAACCCGAGTACAGAGACCATTAAAGGGGGGAAAATTTCTGAAGATATGTTTGCTGATTGGAGCGCCCCTATTGTGCCTGGCTTTCTGTACAAAAAAATACGACAAATGCGTCGTGGAATCATGAAAAATGGTTCGAAGCGGGTACCTCTCCCTCATCCATTATACTTTTCAGTCTTGTTTATATCATTAGCAGCAGCAGCGGGATTACAATGCCGCTTGGTGATTGCAAAGAGGTTCGAAAAAGTATCAAAGCAACTAGACACTGATGCAAATCAGAACCAGACGACTGAGACCAAGTTAGAGAAGATCTCAATTTTTAGCAAAAAGAACCTAAAGGGTGATCAGGCAAACAAGACAGGAGGCAGAGATGCAATGTTATCCTCAAAAAAGTTGCCAATTTCTTGCTTCTGGGTTGAGGTTTGGAGCGAAGAACGACAGTGTTTTTTCGCTGTCAACCCTTGTGGGGAATGTACAACTTTGTGGGGGGCTCCGTATACGTTTTCTGTTGGAGGAGATGTCATTATTGATGCTACACCTCGTTATATTTCTAAATATAGCTCTGCCTACGCTTTCAACCAGCGTCTGAATAGATCTAGACAAATGGCTTTTTTGTGGAAAAATAAACTGAATTGGGATGATAATCGAGAAATATCAGAAATTCTGTTGGCCTCATTTTGCAAGGATATGACACCAATAACTCGACGACAGGTGGTTCGAGAAAAAAAGCAGCTGGACTCTCTCGCGTATTCCGAGGCAATTCCAACGACCTTAACTGCCTTGCATCGTCATCCTCTTTTTGTGATTGAGTCTGATCTTGCCCGGCACGAGGGCGTTTACCCCAAGGACGATACCACAATATTAGGCAGCGTAAAGGGACACGTTGTGTATAAGCGCTCTGCGGTTGTTAGTCTGCGTTCTCGCGATGGATGGCTTCGAGAAGGGCGTAGCTTAATATCTGAGGATCTGCAGCCGTACAAGGTCATGCCTCCTCCACCTTCTCGTCCGTTTGCGGCGAAGTCAATGTTTTACGGCATCTGGCAGACGAAGCCGTTTGAGCCACTGCCTCTGCGTGCGGATGGTAGCATCCCCCATCACCGGCAGACGTCATGGTATATTCTGCTCGATAGTCCTCCGCCGGCGGGGATCGCGCGATTAACGCAGCCACAAATTGCGCGCGTAGCGCGACGCATGCAGCTCGACTTTGGTTTGGCGGTAACTGGTTTCATTCGCCGACGTGTAGATGAGCGGCGGCGAGGCAATTGGGAGGTCGTCATCGACGGCATCGTGGTGCGGGAGATCGATCAGGCGAGGCTCGTGAGTGCCTATGAGGAGTGGGTGCAGCTGGTTCAGGAGCAGGAAGCTGCCAAACGGCGGAATCGCGCCTTCTCGTGGTGGTTGTCTTTCTCCCAACGATTGCTCTCGACGGATCGGCTGCGAAACCAATATCTTACTGGTCTTTCCTTTGGAAGCATGCTAACCCATTGATTTAATCGCAACTAGCATCATCCGATAAAAGCTTTACTGGTCCATGTTGTAGTTTATTTGCTAACAATGAAGCTATTCAATTAATTAAACCTGAACCCCCTTTCCCTTAAAGCTATTATTTTTAGTATTATTCATACTATTATTTAATATATAATTACTTTAGAAGCAGACTAGATCGCATTTAGCAGAGATCAAACCAGATAGCGTGAGTCCACGAGGGAATGATGTACAACATGCGTCAGAATGTTGCCGCTCCTCGCAGTGCACAGACCCCCTCTTTCCCCCCTTTTGATGGTGTTTCCCCGCGCGTTACGGCGCAAACCTATAAATCGCATCGAGGGGAGTACGTTTCCATTATTCTCGAGCTGAACGGCCTTGGCGAGTTCAGCTGTGGGGTAACGAGACAATCCGTGAAAGTGACGGGCGTTCCAGAGGCAACGGAGGTAAGCCGCGTGTGCGAGTTTATTTGCTACGTAGATCCATCCATGGGCGAATTGCGCTACTATCAGCACGCTATGCTGGATGACGAGTTTGATTTCGAGGTTTATGGCCGTCTGATCAACTTGATCCCAAAATTCCCACAGCTTTTTTGATTACCAAGGCAAAGGGATGCTTTTCACAAATATCTATAAGACAGCGTAAAAATGTAGGGAAGGGTGTTTAAATCTTTGTGGCTTAATATGTTGGGCATCGACAGAATATCCTTTTTACATGTTAAACAGCGATTGGATTGCAGTGAACGAAGAAAAAGAGTAAGCGTACAGTTCGTTTTTCTTAAGTGATTGAATATGTCACCATTGTTTTTACTTGCATAAATCTGCTTCCATATCTCAGAAACGTACACATAGATATAGAATTAACTTGCATATTTCCCTACTAAATAACTTCTTAACCAATTATTGCGATAATTGCAATGCGCCCTGTACTTATAGTAACAGGGTTCTGTGTGTGATATATCTGGTAAATCAAACTCTGAGCAAATTTGTCACTGCTAATTCTTCACATACGTATTTTTTTTCCCAGATATGAATCCAACACAAGAGGTAGCTTTTGAAGAGACCGTCCAATGGACTTCAAATATTTCTTCTGGCGATATCGTTAGAGGTTTACCCCTCCACATATTGCTTGCCTGGGCGCTTTTTGTTCGCCTGACGAGAGGCGTGCTTTCTAAAACGATCGACTTTGGTATCATCAGTTCATTCTTATCGGAAGATATTAAGGTTGATCCTGGTTGCAATTATGTGGAGGCTCTTGCGCAATTTCAGACGATACGATTCGGAAATGAACCTTTTTGCGTTTTGCATCAGCGTTGCCTACGATGGACGTTGCTGTTAGTTTTTTGGATAAACAGACGCCTACACTCACCTGTATTCAAAGGAAGTGATATGCTACACGAGATCGAGGTGTACCGCGACTTTTTTGCACCCATCGCCAAACCGGTACTTCCACCTTGGCAATACTGTAGAGTCGTTGCCAATATACGAGCACTTTTTTGCGCGAGTATACCTCCTCCACTCAAGAAAAGACATACATCTTCCCTGGTGGGTCCAAAACCAGCTTTTAATTCGGCGTTCGAGTTTCATCTTTATAAAGCGTTAGGCAATACACTTGATACCTTACAGCGTGATAGTTTTCACGTAAGATGGGATTACATTAACCCGAGGGATTTGTTGCGGCAAACGCTAAGGCGCTTAGAACGTGTTGGTCTTGCCAACATAGAAGCCCAGGGTTATGCAAACAAAATCGAGGGAGCGATGTATCCTCGCCTCCATAGTGAAACATTTAGTTCACTTTGGTTTTTTTTAGAAGCAAGCGTTGACGATACCGTGGGGTTAGATGATAACATGCATCGCGCGATCTCTGTTACCATGTGGGAGGCCCTGCTTCAATGCCTTGAAAAGGTCTTCTACGTCATGCTCACCAAGATCGAATGCGGATTTATTGAACGATGCTACTATACACTACCGTTTATGATGGACTGCCTTGCGTTTATCTCTACAATTGAATTGAAACTTTCGTGCTCAAAAGGCATCCCCCCTGCCACGTATTTGCGCTTCCGTGATCAGATTAGTGAGTTATTCAGTATGGTTAGAGTTCTTCAGGTGGCGGTGCAGAAGTTATACACGATGCAATCCAAACAGCTGTTAGCGGGGGACTACAAAAGTTCTTCGAAACCCTTTACAACCATCCCACCAGCTGACGCGCTTCCAACAACTCGCGAAGCTCTCAAGATTAGCGCAGTAGCTCTGCAGCTACTCGCTGAAGTGGTGGAGCCCACTTTATGCATTCTCCGTCCAGTATTATTAAACGAAGAACACTCAAAGGAAGCAGAAAATCATCGTAATCGCTCAGAAACCTTGCTCTTGGCATCGGATGGACGCTTCGCAAAAATGATAATACATTTTTTGGAGAAGATGCTCACATCAGAATGGCATGCCATGATGGAAAGAAACAGACTTCCCCTGTCAAGAGAGGGGACGCAAGCTAACCAAGACCACCAGCTTATACAGAAGTACATTTTGGATGCAAAGAACATTACAACCGAAATAGTGCACTCAACAGTGCGAAGAGATTAATACCCTTTTCAATAAGGGTTCTGGATATTTCGCCTACTACGTGCTACGTGGATACGCAATGCATCCCTAAAATGCGACCCTAGATTAAGAATTTTTTAGAGAATAGCCTGAGCGCTGGTAGAGCGCTAGTCTTCATGAAGATAGGACATTACTTTGCATTTTGTAATGTATTAGAACAAGTTTCTAAACTCCGTAGCATTTCAATTCTCCTTCTTTTTTGGGATAGGGAAGCAATCATTTTTCATCAAAAATTATAACCCATCCCAAATGTTTCCTTTTTATAATTTTTGTTTTTTACCAAAGACTCTAGTAGAGTTGTGGAACCGGTATGTGCAGATTAACATTTAGTGGTTGCTATTTATGATATCTTTGTGTGGAAGGTCTGCAGCAAGCGTGATTACTGTAGATTAATGTTTTACAGTGCTCATATTACCTTCTTAATGCAAGTATTAATTAGTTTGAAGTGTCGTTACCGAATAGAATTGTCGGAGGATACGTTTATGTGAAATGTTTGATATTTATCTTTCAAATATCTGTATGTATATATATATATGCGTACTTTTTCCCCTCTAAAATGTTAAATGATTTAGATCAAGGAGATAAAAAATTTGCCAGGGTTCCTCTTAGGATGCATAGGCGATTGTTATTTCGTTTATTTAAGAGAGAAGCTATTTTCATATCCGTTAGGGGACCTAGTCCTTCATTATTGCCTGCTTCCAATGCGTTCAAGGTACCTTCACGGTGCTTTAGTAAGTTTCTAGAGGGGAGTAACTCTGCTCTGGACGTGCTACGTGAAGCCTTGCCCATCGTATTGCGTGTGGAGGCGTATGTACCGTTTACACCCACTGCTCTTACTCAAATTGCCCGATCCCTTCCAGATACTTTGATGGAGGAACTCTGTGAGACCCCCGAAGGTAAGGGGGGTCTTTTAGCTTTTCTATCGCATTTTCCTTCTCATTTCGAGATGAAGATGGAGGGTACCACTCATATTGTTTGTCGTGTTGGACGAAGTAAGGCCCCGGATCACTTGCAGCGCCCCGACGCGGTGTGTTCTGGGTTGCCGACGGAGAAGTTTCCTGTCAGTTCGAGCGCGTCGTCTGCTACGCGGGATTCGAAATACCATAGCAAAAACATTCCAGCTGAGTTATATTCGCATTTCCCTACTTTTATCGTTCCCCTTCGAGCACTATGGAGCTCCACGGATGGGGAGGGGGGCGGGATTCCTGCACCAGAACCCACTGTTACCGCAAGCACCCCATCGGAAGCTGAGGAAAGGGTGAAACGCGTAGTGGAGAATTTGCTTGTGCACTACAGGGAGTATCTTATATACGTAAACCCTTACACAAATGATGCGTTTCCTTCGCGATATACCAAGGAAGGCGGGGCCGAAGATACTTCAACAAACATCGCTGAGTTATCTTTATGGGAGCTGGGTTACGCCGCTCTCCACCCAAGTGTTGTTGCTTCCTTTCATCGGATTCCTGCGTGTCGTAAGGCTGTTTTCGCAACTAACAAACGCCTCGCAGCTTGGCGGGTTGAGGAGTCCGCGTGTTATCGTCTTGCGCGGCTTTTTCCTCGCGTTCACGACGAAATCAAGCTGACGGCGGAATGGTTAGCGGAGGCCAAGGAGCTGCTTCTCCCTCATCAATCACCTCTACACGTCTTGTGTGGCGCTCCACATCTGTTCAAAACTTACTCTCAAAGTCTTTCAGCGGAGACCCACCAAGAGGGGGAGCAAATTTCATCCAATTTGGCAAAAATTCAGCTCTTCTCCCAGTTTCTTCTTGACAATCGATACGCCATACAGGTAACCGAATCTGAAAGTGAGCTCCGAGAGCAGCTATACATTGTGAGCAAGGGAGTTAGAAGTGCTGCGTCCTCGCATCAGAATATCAACATACCGATTGACAGACGAAAGCGTCGGAAGCTCAGGCGTAAACTTCAGTACCTTACGAATCGAACGCCCTTCTTCGATGATCGTGTGCTAGCTCAGTTTGTTTTTGACGCTTTGCCTGAAGATCGACCGATGATTCTGAAAAATTTAGTCGAATCCCTACCAGAGGCCGTGAGATATTGCCTTCCAGGTGATCTGAAGCAGTTTTTCCTTCGTTATCCGTCTTACTTTAAAATTTTCTATGATTATGATGCAATGATACAACGGGCGAATTTGCCTCAACCAAGCGCACACTCATCGAATGATATCACTGCTGAGGATATTTTGCAAGAAATCTTCATTCGCTATCCTCTCCGGTATCATCCTGAAAAGGGGATTTGCCTCGTTAAATGTGTATCAGGGTTGCCACTATGGATTATGCAACGAATACGCACCTTGTCAAATTTTGAGGAGGATGTCCTGCAAGCATTACCTCAAAAGGTTGAAATTTTACCAAGGAGCCAAAACGGATTAACGAAGGAAGAGGAAAAGGCCGCAATGCAGCAATATAGAGGGAGGTGTGATTTTCTCATACCTTTTCGGTTCGTAGGCAACTTGAGAAATCAATTGGAGGAGCGATACAACAAGTTTCATAAACGAAGGGAAGCCAAGCTTTCCTCGGCGTAAACTGCAAGAATGTGATTGCATACTATCTTGTGATATGCTTCTGCTATATTTCTGCCTGTATATTTGTCCTCGTAATTTGATGGTGAAGTATTACTACTTTTATTGGGCTCATTTTGTGTTATAAGCCTAGATCTTAACCGTTTTAATAATTTCACGCCAATAAAAGGCTTTCTCTTTTCTAGCTTTATGGACAAGAAACATTTTTTAGATATTTTAGCTCGTAGTTCTTTTTGGATCACACGGACAAAAAGGTAATTCGCGATGCCACGCGGCACGGCATCTTCATTTGCTTCTCTTTTTAAACAGCAACGGCTTCCTGCGATACAGCCCCTGACGCATCCTTTTCATGTTACGATATGGCTTCTGGCCGCTGCCTTGCTATTCATCCCACTGGGAGTGATCGTTGTGCTCTCGGGCAAGCTGGCTAAGGAACTCACTTTTCGCTATGACGACATAAATAGGTGCACCACACAGTCGAACCAAGGTGCGTTCACCTACACTGGAAACGGTCAGGAGCTCAAAACCGGCTGCATCACGCACGTCTCATTCCGTCTCAACACGACACTCAAGGCACCCATATACCTATACTACGGTCTAACAGGGTTTTATCAGAACCACCGAAAGCTGTCGGATTCGAAAAGTCAAGAACAATTACAGGGTGCACCTGTATCGCGGCGAGATCTTAAGAGGTTAGCGCCGCTGATGTACCCTGGGGAGCTTTCAGGGGATGAACACACTCCTATTGAGGTGAATGGACGAACCTATCATTATCGCGATTTTGTTTACTCTCCGGGAGGGCTATTGCCGTGGTCGATGTTTAACGATACCTTTACGCTTTACCGAGTCGAATCGAGCAGTTCATCAGTAGACGAGGATGGGATTCCTAGGGAGCCTGTTCGATTTCTCATTTGCAATGATAGTGCATTTTCTAAGTTCACGAATGAACCGCTAGAGGTGCAAACTAAGAGTTCGTCTGTAGTAGTCAAAACAACAGGTGGAAAAGGGTGCCGCAAAAAAGGGATTACATGGAAAACAGATGTGAATCATTGTTTCAAGCCTATCTTTTTTCCGAGCGGAAAAGGTGATCACGACGATTCTCTGATCTGGAGTGCGCCGCGCTATTTGTATCGTACGGAAGACCAACCGTTCGTGAAGGATCAATCACTTTATAATGTTACTTCTAATGATACGTTTTTCAATGAGGGTTGGTATGCTGGGGAGCTCGGCCATGCCATTCCCGTTAGCACCGATGAGGATCTTATGGTGTGGCTTCGTTTAGCACCTTCACCTAAATTTCGTAAGCTGCGTCGTATTATTGAAGAGGATATGGAGCCTGGTCAATATCTCATGGAAATAGGTGAACACTACGATTCGGTTAGTTTTGGTGGGGAAAAGAGCTTTACATTCGCGACGGTATCTTACTTGGGCGGGCGGAATATTTTTTTAGCCAAATTGTGCCTAACGATTGGGATTGCCTCACTTTTGATTATATTTGTCTTTTTATTACTGCGTCGAAACTACGAAATCCAAGTTCAACAAGAGCTTGCGTATCTTCACCAAATAAACTGAGCCATAGCCAAATTGTCACATATCAAAACAGAAGGAAAACATCTTAATGGCCAAGGATGTTTAGATAAAAAGTTATATTTCTTTTTCTATATATGTATTTTAACTGCGTATTTCTCTCCCGAATCTCTAAAGTCCCCACAAAATTTATGAATGCTATGTTTTGCATTTTATTATGTCGTAATTGCGGGCTAATAATTTATTGTGAACGATCAGTGAAATAGTGTTTCACGGAGAGCAATACCAAAAGGTATGCATACATTCTTCCCCCTCTTCCCCTTATTATTCCTAGGTTTGTGTAATGATTTTCTTTTTCCTTGATTATATCTTCTCCCTTTCTAAATCCTTTGTTTTGGATACCTTTTTTTTTGTTGAACTGTAGAATCTAACTAAGTTTCAAGTCCAATGCAATCCAGTTAGACAATGGACTTTGACGATCTGACTGAACAAATTAGTTTTGAAAAGGCTGTTGCAAGAGCGCGTTCCCATATCTTACAGGCTTCATCGGCATCTGGCAATTTTGACGAGCTGATAAGCAAATATAGCGCCTTCAAGGACATCTCACGGGAGGCAAAAAAGAGAGGGAAGCTAATCAGCTCAGTTTTGGTGGCAGCAGAAGGTATAGTGCGGTCATTTTCGCCTTCACCTGAAGTGTCCAGTTCTGAGACTTCCTTGGGGTCGTATGTGTGTAGTGAAGATGAAGAGAAACTTCTTAGGCTACTTCTCACCATGTATATGCATCTGTATTCTAATAATCCAGTTCCTACCAGGCAGCAATGGAGTGATGCTGTATATTCAACGATTTCAGGTGCATTTGATAAAACTTCGATGCGAAAGGATTTCAAGTTTAACGGCCACACACCTTTGCAATCTTCTTACACCACAGCTCTGTTTGAGGTCTTTTGTACTTCAAGGGGAACCGTAAACTGTGAGGAGGAGAGCGACGACGGCTCCTTCGTGGATTCTCAATTTATTTCTTACTTGAAGCGTCTGCTTGTTTTAGGTCGAAAGAATGCATCTCGTGGAGGCTTCATGAATCCAGCAGAATCTGGTAAGCCTATTAATGAAATGCTTCGAGCTGTTCGGCAATTTGTCAACAGTAACACGATCGATTGGTAAAGTATAGTCATCATAAATTTTGCGGTTAATAATAATCTTAAAATCTTGGTCGATACATTTGCGCGTTGAATACACAAAGTAATATTCCAAGTATTTTTTTTGCTTTCATTAACTTGTCTGATGGAAAAAATATTAACCGTGTGATTTTACATCCCATTTGTTACATGTACCCGAATCATTAGTGTTTTTTTGTAGTGTAACACGAAATCTTATATTCTTCTTCTTTTTTTTTGTACCATGAACTCATTTATAGTTACCTTAGAATGTCTGCTTTAGGGAACATCAAGAACAAACGCACGCGCTCGGGTGGTCCTAATAGGACGCAGAAACGCCATAGACAGAAGGAGGACGCGACTGCATTCATCGCTTCTTCCTTAGCCGATGTTCCTTTTCGGCGGTTATATCACTATCCCTCGCAGGAGCCCTTCCCTGTGATTATGGGGGACGACTTTCCTGCCGAGCCCTACCGATCTCGCCACGATGACATCAAAAGTTCAATTCACTGGGGGCAGCGCAAGCTCATGCTCTCTGAAATCCAGATGCTGACGATGTACTGCGAGCCCGAGGTTTCATATCACATCGTCTATGCAGGGGCTGCTCCGGGGACGCATCTGAGCCTGCTGGACGACCTCTTCGCGAAACGACACACGTGGGAGCTAGTGGACCCCGGGGAGTTCGACCACGCGGCCCTCGACGGCCGCCCGAACATGGTCCTGCGAAACGAGTTCTTCACGAACGACACCGCCTACGGGATCAACGCGCGGCGGCTGACGGAGGTGCTGCCGGGCCTCGCCACGGTCTACGCCGCGCTCACGCGCGACGCGCTGTCCCAGGTGGAAGGGCCCGCCAAGTTGTCCCAGGTGGAAGGGCCCGCCAAGTTGTCCCAGGTGGAAGGGCCCGCCAAGTTGTCCCAGTCCGTGCTGTTGGCGCAACTACAGGACGCCGTGGGCCAACGTGACGTGGCGCGCGGGACGGCGGCCATCCCGTCAGCCTACGAGCCCCCGCTCAGGCTGCCGCGCGGGCTCGAGCTTCTGTGCCAGGTCGGGCTGGAGCGCCGTGGGCCGCTGCTGTTCATCTCGGATATCCGCTCCGGCGCCCTGGAGGTCGAGAACTTCGAGGACCACGTCGCGGAGAACATGCGTGCGCAGGAGGTGTGGACGGAGATTCTGCATGGTGCCTACAGCATGCTCAAGTTTCGCTTGCCATACACGCGAAAGGCGAAGAGCTTCGGTGGACGTGATGAGGAGGTGCAGACAAGGCTCATCCGGCCGGATGGCTGCGTTTCGTACCTGCGAGGAGATATTCTGCTGCCTATCTGGACCCGACCGACAAGCACGGAGGGGAGGCTCGTGGTGCCTCAAGGTGCTTTTCCGAAGGACTACAACGTCGCTCATGTGGAAGACCAATTCTTCTTTTTCAACACAAGAGTTCGTGAGCAGATTCACTTTAATCATTTTCTTGATTCTACAAGTGTTCTGGATCACCATTTTGATGGAGCTGCCGAGGTAATGTGCTTGAAAATGTACCTTGAATTCATGTTTCCACGTCTAAAAGACGCGCCCGTTGAGGAGCTCCGTGATGAGGTTGAGCGAGTTTCGCGTTCCATCACGAATCATCTTGGTACCACGTTTAGAAATACAATCTATAGAAGAAACGCTCTCCTTATTAAACAAGCTCAAAGTAATAGTGCCTGTAGATCTTCCTTGTTTAACATTATCGGTGACAAGGCTAAAGTCCCATCGAGGTCTGATGATGACGAAAGCTGTTCGTCGTCAGGGGATCAAAAAACGTGCAAGGGCGACACTAAAATACTCTCATCCACGGATCAATGCAACACTACACATAGTTCTTTAGAATGTGAACCCAGCCAGCCGATGAATGATTGGGAGGCTTCAACATGGCGGTCGATTTATTTGGCGGAAAGGGAGCGCAAGCTTTTAATTTGGAAAATCAATCTTGACGAATCCAAGTACAATGAACCTAGCGGGCTCTGGGTAACCACCTCTATCGAGATGTAATACCCACCTTTTCCCGCTCTAGTTCTTTTTCTTTCTTTGACTCATAAGGCAATGCCATATGAATTTCACTTATGGGTGTTATAAAATTTTGTAGAATATGTTAAGAGCAGGTTAGGAATGGTGTTGGTTTTTTTTTCAATTATCCGAACTTATCACCGATATCTCTTTTCCATAACTCTTAGTCCTCCGTGTGGAGGGTACCATTTATGATGGATAGATATTTTACATCTAAATTCTATCGGAAGTATGAAAAAATAATAATACCATTAGTTTGACAAGGAAACCGGTGTGAATGATATCGCTACGATAATAAGCACGCACTGGTTTTGCGCTATATCAGGAAAGAAAAGTAAACGAAGTATTTGAAATCGGCCATTGAGTTTGTGCCCCATCTACACAAGTGGTTACAGACACTTTTTTATTGTTTGTATGCCGGCTGAAAGTTACACTTTTTTAACAGGTTCTAAGTATGTTTTCTTTCCGTTTCTTTCTCTTTGCATATTAATGGTGGAGGAAATATTACTTTTCTGTTAGTTTCTGTTAGTTTCTCGGAATTAAAACGGCAGAGCACTCAAGACGCTCATTTAATTGGTGGTCGATAAGGACCGATTATTATCTATTTCTTAATAAGCTAAAGAGAGCGTGTGGTAGATTTCACTCTCTCATTTCGATGCCCCTCGCACCACGTCAAAGTCGTAAGGGCGGAAAGATCTTTTCACCCGCCGGACCTTTGGTCGAGGGTGGTACGTCGGTCGTCATTTCTCCGGGCACGCTGCTTCCCGATACGATGCCATGTAGCTTACCGAGTGAGCCTGGGAATGGCAGCATTCTCGAATTTAACTTTGATGATATCTTTACCGGTAAGAAGTCTCGTAACCCTTCATCGTGCAATACAATGTCTTCTGCGATAGGTGCGGATGCCAACGTGCTTAAGTTTGACTTCGACGCGATTCAGAAGGTTGGGCAGGGTGAGGTTATTGGGGCTAAGAAGAGTATCCGGACCGGCACCCGAAAACCGCAAGCGACCTTCGAAAGCGTCGAGGAGAAGCTTATGAAAGTTATCGATGCTCAGACGTCGAGTCCGCTTCCGTTTGTGGAGGTAGGGTCCGACCCCGCGCAACTCGCGGCGTTGCAGGCGTATGAGGTGGTGCTGGTGGATCGCCCCTACTCCTCCCTCACGCTCGCCGTCGCCACGAGTGTAGGGGTGGAAAACGCGAAGGTTCTCGTTGTGGTTCCTCAGTACCATGAGGTCTCTCCTGTCGCGCGATGCCTTTCGCACCTTCAGAGGAAGGAAAAGGTTCCACATGAGGGCGGCGTCGGGGAGCTCTGCGGCCAATTCTGCAAGGGATCCGTGGAATGCAGACTGTGGGTGTGCAACGCCGATACCGCGCTGGTTTACCTGCACACGCAGAAATCGCTTGATCCCTTCACGCACGTCGTGTTGCCCGCCCTCAGCCGGATGGATCACACCGTCGCGTACTTCCTTTGGAGCCTCCGCGAGCGGTTTTACGTCCACAGCTCCACCACCTCCTCGCCGCGCGTCGTGCTGTGTGTGCTGGAAGGCGATCAGGAGTGCGTGCATCAGTTCTTCCCCAAGCAAAAGCTCATCACGGTCGAGTCTGGTGAGAAGCGCGAGGCGAACGTGTTGGAGTTCACCTACGACGAATCCAGCGCGCTCGTGGCATCCGACGTGCTCGAGGTCGGCGTGGATAGCAAGGGAAAGTGCCCGCCCCCAAACCACAAGCTCGTGAACCATAACCTCAATCTGGTCTCGGGGATAGTGGATTTTATTATAGAACACGCCAGGGTGCCGCAGACGATTTACATTTTTACCGCCGATACGCAGGCGGTGATGGATGCCCTGCAGGGCGTCCCCCTCCCCAAAACGAAGCTCTTCACCAACCAGCACGCCTTTGAGTCCGTCTCGTCCGAGCCCTCCAAGCACCACCACATCTTCATCACTCCGTTTCTTCCGAATTTCTTGTACGCGCTGCAGGATGAGGTGCACTTCGTGCTCGATCTGGGCACCACCCGTCGTCTTTCCCCACAAAGCAAATCGGAGAGTTTCATCGTTAGCAGCCTCACGGAGTGGGTCTCGCAGAGCGAGATTCGCCAGCATCGGCACCTTCTCGGGCTGCGTTGCGTCGGGGGCTACTTCGCGCTTTACCCCCCTCCCGCCGCGGCGGGTTTTGCCGCGAAGGATACCTCGAAGTCGGCGATGTTTCAGGTCGAGGATGCGATTTTGCAGTGCAGCCGCGCGGAGCTGCCGGCGATGCTCGCGTCGGACGTGTTAGCGCCCTCCGATCCGGATATGTGGGAGCAGGCGCAGCACAGCCTCTGCGAGCGGCAGCTCATCTCGACGGCGTCGAACGTGCAGATCACCTTCCTCGGCGAGGTCGTCTCGCGTTTGCCGTTGGGGCTCGATCTCGGCTGTTTCGTCGTGAACGGCTGCGCGATCGGGTTTGGCGAGGCCGCCGTCGTGATCGCCGCGGTCGGGGCCTTTCCCTACCTCTTCGTCACCGGCCGAAGCTTTCACGAGAAGGAGGCATGGGCGAAGCAGGTGATGGAGAATCGTCGGCTGTACGCCGAGGAGGTCGCCCGCCAGAGCGACGTGCTCGCCGATACGCTTGTTTTCCTGCATTGGTGCCGCCTGAAAGTGGAGGGAAAGCCGACCGAGAGCCTTATCGCGGAGTTGCAGGTGGAGGAATGGCGTCTCGAGCGAATCCGCGGCTTGGTGGAGCACCTCCGCCTGCAGCTTCTCGACTACGCCTTTATCGATAGTCTGGATCGGATCCAAACCGTAGACATGGTCCTGCAGAGTATCAAGGCGAACGCGACGACGTTGGTGTTCCTCTTGTCCGCCTCCCTCGCGCGCAAAGCCGCCTTCGTGCACGATTCGGGCAAGCTGAATGTGCGGGATCGCTCCGCCACCCTGACGTTCGTGCGGACCTCCAAGAAAGTAGTTCCCAACTTCATCTACCCGACGGGCATCCCATGGGAAGTCGGCATGGCGGTCGTTTCGTTGGATCTGCGCAACAACCCAAACATGATTCTCTCCACACGGCTCTCGGCGGTTAGCGCGAACTACCTGTTCGCGACGCTGCTCCTGCTGTACCCGCAAGTGGAGTACTCCGCCCCGGTGGACGTCGTGGATAAGGGCCATGTTGTGTACTTTAGCATCACTTGCAACCGACAAACGAAGCGGTTTCGCGTGAACATCGAGGATGCCGCGCGGATTTTAGATTTCCGCGAGAAGTGGAATACGGCGTTGGGGATCCTACAGGCGCTGCGGCTGCTACGCCGCCCGATCTCCCATCGCGGGTTTCAGCTCGCCTTGAAGGAGGAGAACCGCGCCTTCGATCTCGAACAGTTTCGTATCAGCCTGCAGCAAGAGCTCATTAGCCTCGTGACGGAGACGGAGATTTCCGAGCACCAGGTAAGCTTCACGACGCATGGGGAACATCGTTTAAGACCTAAAGAGGTCCTCCGCGGTTTGGAGGGAAGTGAGGCGGGGGATGTGCTCATGGCGAAGCGGTTCCGTACCGGCGAGCTTTGGCAGGCGTCCTCGACGCCCATGGCTTGGACCAATGACAAGACGACTTCGAATGCCGCATCTCCCTCTTCCACGTTCGTGAATAGCCCATTGTATGAAGTCGAGGATGATGAAATTGAATTTATCACCGACTCGTACTTCCTCAATCATGGCCCCATTATCGATGATGACGAGTAGAACGGCACTTGATGCGTGTAAATGTCATCTGTCAAAACTTATGAGAGCCAATGAGGGACAAGGGTACTTTTTGTTTATTTAGAGGGATTTAACGAATTAATTATGTGTAATGAAACGGTTGATATAAAATAATGTACACAGTATATACACGGTCGTCTTCGACCTGAGTATACTGAGGAACTCAAAAAGGAAAATGAGATTGGTCTACACGAGGTAAAAGGACCATATGTTTCAGATCTATGATTTTGGATTTCAAATTCAATGGATTGAATAAAATGCTTACCTCTATATTGGTGTCGAAAAGATTAATCCTTTAATTTTATTTGTCTTACCGTCTTTTCCACCATTTCTACGACATGCAATAACTCAGCAGAATTTGTAAATTACTAAGACGCTGGGCTTTAAAGGAAAAATGATGTTTTAAGGTCTGTTAGTGGAAAAAAAAGAAAATACCTTTCTCTCTAAGGGTTGAACTTTCATATATTTATCCCTTTATTGTTCTCTTTTCCATTTTAGTTGGAAGCAATGGTTTAAGAGGAGTAAGGGTATTTCAAAAGGAGAACATGTTTCGGTAATGGATAGAATCTAATTTAGTGCCTTCGAAGAGATGCACAGTTTAGGTTGGATGCGGTTAAATTATCCTTCTCAGTTCCATTCCCCACTCAAACTAGAATCCAGTAGTACACCCACACCCACATATATATATATATAAATATATATATATATTATCTTTTGATCATTTCTTGTTTCTTCAATCCACTGTTCTAGAATAGAAACAATGACCGGTAATGATGTGGTAGATCTGAATTCAGCGATGCTTCATAGAAGTCGACGCCACCCTAATTTGCACGCCGCCATGGCACTCCCCTCCCATATCCAGGAGCAGCTAACAAACGCGCATCGCAGACTCCTCGAGGTCGCGGATAGTTCCGCGCCAACCGCGTCGACCTCGACGGGAGAGCTCAACCCCGGTCTTGAAAAGCTGCGGCGAAACCGGAGTGCGGTGGTGGAGGCCGTGGATACCCTGATCACCGCCGCCCCCACCCCGGATTCGCAGCTCAAGGCCATCTCCACAATCACGAGCAACGTGCAGGCGGGCCTCTCGGCCTCCCCCCTGCTCCGTGGCTTCCTCGAGGTTCTCACGGCGGAGCTCGTGATCCCGCTTTTGCTGGAAAGTCGTCTTCGCTACCTCCACCGCGCGCTCGCGACGCTGCTCCGCTTGACGGGCGTCCTCGACGCGGCGGCGCTCGAAAGCCTCGAAGGGGCCCTCCGTCGAACGCTGCTTCGTCCGCGCGGGGGGGAATCAACGACGGGGCTCCCGCGTTTCCCTACCCCGTGTGGGGTGGGAGAGGAGGAGGCGGAAGACGAAGAAGGGGGTTCCTCCCCCCTCCCCCCTCCCCCCTCTCCCCTCCTCTCCCACGCGGGTGGTGAAGGCGGAGGTGATGGATTTTTTGAACACCCTCGATTGCCTGAGCGCGACGCTGATGCCGATGGCGCCCGAGGTGTTTGAGAGGACCTTTTTGGAGGTCCTTTCGCTGTTGGCGGATGGGTTGGGGTGGTGCGTGCGCGATGCGGTGCGGCAACGACGCTGTATCCCATCCTCCACCGACGTTGAGGCTCGTCCGCCTCGACGTCTCGATCACGGAATCGTATTTGACGAGGATCTCGATTGCGTTCGTTTCGCCGTGCGGGTGGTGGCGACCCACACGCATCGGTATTTACCTCATTTGCACGCGTTGTTGGGCGCCCCTCCCTCCGTGGAGGTGGGCGGCCTTCCTTGCAGGTCGCGAGGGGGGTTGGAGGTCCTTTGTACGCGGCTGCTCCGCCCGGTTTTTCTGATGCTGTCGTCTCTGCTCTTTCCAAAAGACGTGCTCAACGCCGGCGGGCTGCTTTTGGCGTCGATGGTGACCGTCACCGCCTGCGATCCCGCGCATCTCCATCGGATTTGCCGTTTGGTTTGCACCGAAGTCGTCGAGGATGCCATCCCCTCGTTGGGGGTCTGGACGCTCCCACAAGGTGTATTCGCCCTCGTCTACCCCCCGAACCCCCACGGAGGGGTTCTGAGCCGGAGCGAGGACGACGCCCGTGCTTTACGACGGCTATTTGGCAGCCTCACGAAGAATGGCCGGTTTGCCTTTCTCAAAGGCCTTTTAGCGCATCTGTCGAAGCCGATTTATGGGTACCCGGGCACCATCGGCATTCTTCTCCGCCCTTTGTCAGCCCCCCCAGCGTCTTCGCCAGGGGGCGACGAGAATCGCGAAGGGAAGCCCACGCTCCAAAAGGAGGAGGAGGAGGTGCCCGCGTACGACCTAATCGTCCCCTTCGCGGAGCGGTTTGGTTCCGCGATTCAGGAGCCGGAAACGCGTTTTATGGCGATTCAAACCCTGGATAGCGTGGTCCGCCACGCGGCGGCGAGCTTTTCATTTATGCGGCGCTGGTTGCGCGCGCCACGAGGCGAGCCTTCGACGGATCGCAACTCCACCTCCAACCCGGAGGTCTCCATCGCCGAGGAGAGGTGTCGTGCGCGCAAGAAGGAGCGTCGGGAGGTGGATGCAGCCGCGGCGACGAAAAAGAATTCCCTCGCGGCGCCGGAGGGCCTGACGCCGGAGGCGGCTGCGAGGGTGGGGGATCTTTTCCGCGCGTGTAGTTTGTTCGCCGGCAAGTTAGAACGCACCTTGGATGCCGTGACGCAGCTGATCATGGGGCTTTGGGATGATGGAACGCAATCCATGTCGGGCGCCCTTTATGAAACCTACGACCAGGTCCTTTTGGCGAGGCAGCAGTTTCGATCTGTGCGGACGATTTTCCACCCCACGGAGGGCGGGGAGGCCGCCGAGGAGGAGGTTACGGATTCCCTGGAGACGTTGTTGCAGGTTCTTGCCATTCAAAGTGAGCGCCGCGCCAAGTATCACGCCTTGCTTGGTCTTTTCTCCGTGATGCCGCTGCGGGGGATTCTGGAGGCGCTCGATCGGTTTTACGTGAAAACCACCACCGCGGCCTCAGCGTCGTGGGCGGTCGAAACACCCTCTTCTTTGGCTTACAGATCCGCACTGACGTCTTTTGCGGAGTCGCTTTTGTCTGGGGCGAGCAACCACAAAGTGGGGAACGTGTCGGGCGACGTGTTCGTCAAGCTCGCGCGGCTTCTCAATTCTCCCGTCGTCCAACCCACCCAGGCGAACGCGCACGCGGGCCTTGTCGGGTGGAATCTTCCCGAATTGTTTCATCACGGTCTTCTCGCCCCACTGAGTCGCGCGATTGCCATGGAGGGCTACGTCCGGGTCGTCGCCAACGTGCAGGCGTCGACGAATATTTCGAACCTCATCGCCCATTTCGTCGTTCCCCTTCTTAAACAGGTCGACGGCGCCTTCCCACGTCTCCTCTCGTGCGTGTTGGGGCTTCAGACGGCCCCGGGCGCCTCCCGCGCGCGCGTTTATCAGGGCGTCGTGGAGGTGCTCTACCGCGCTCGGGATGCCGGGCTCGACCTCGCGGCCTTCACTGCCCCCACGGGCGAAACCGCCCCCATCCTACGCGCGAGCCTGCAGGCGGGGAGCTTCGAGCTGCGGAATACCGCGCTTCGCCTGTGCGTGTTGCCCTCCAAGCGAGGGGAGCCCGTGGAGGGGTGGCAATGCCACCTCGTCGAGGCGTTTCTTTCCTTGAACCTCCATCTTGGCGGGGATACAACGGCGCGGAAGGGGCTTTTGGATTCCTTCCGGAAATGGGCCGCGTACGTGGCGGAAAGCCTCAAACGCGGTCCCCACCGCCCCCATCCGCCTTCGCGCGGCAACCCACCCGTCGAAGGGGGGGAATCCCACGCGGCCGCGGCGTATACGCAGCGGCTTGTCGATCATTCCATCGCCTGCGTTCGGCTTTTTGCCGAGCACTACGGGCAGACGGTAGAGCAGAGCCACGGCCTCTCCATCGAGCGTCGGACCGCGGCCGCTTCTGGTTTGGATATTTTGTTGACGGAGCTGACAAGCGTCATCCGGGGGGAGGCCGCCCCGTCGTGGTGGCGGGTTCGGCTTCGGGAGTTCTTTCCAGGCGGCATCGTCCGGTCGCTTTTGGCGGACCTCTCGGATGGCTGGTCACTGGCGCGGAAATGTGCGAAAAAGGTGCTGCTTTTCTACTTTCAGCACGCCTTTCCGGTGGTCCGCGAGGGGGTTGATCCGGAGAGCGTCCTGAAGGCCGCCATTTCGGAGTTGCGCGGCGCGTTGACCTACCGCAGCGCCGAGGGTGCGGTGGAGCGCTTCATGTTATTCGACACCCAAACCCCCGAGGCGCATCAGGAAGCCGCGTCCGATCCCGAAAAGGTTCTCCTGGAGCGCTTAGAAAGGTTGTCAGCCGAGGTGGCGGCGCTGGCTTCGATGTGCAGAGAAATTCAGGCCCTTCGTGGGAATGGCATGGGCGTGGAGGCGTGTGCTTTTGTTCGTCAACATCCTCTTCATGGAAGGCTTTCGCTGTGTATGGCCATGCTGTCGAGCGCGGCTTCCCTTTGCCGTGGGTCTTCGAATCCGCAGAAACCCCGCACGGCCGCTTCGTCGAATCTGAAGGAGGCTTCGAACGAATTTCTGAGGTGCAGCTCGGAGGTTCTTCGGACCTGCAGTACACTCGTGGGAAGTGAGCCGCTTGTGTGGTCCGCGTTGAATCGTAACGAATCGAAGGACGGAGGTTCTTCCGCTAATCTCGCGGAAGCCACCACTCCTAGTGTGGTGGTTGATTGTCGAGGTCATGTCTACGATCCAAACGAGCGCCCTGAAGCGGAAGGCTTGATGCGTATCGTCGTTAACAATACGTGGCTTGCCATTCGCAACGCGACATTAGCGGTTCATCTTATCACCGTTAAGTTGCATGGCTTAACGGAGCTTGATTTTGATGTGGTTAGGACCGTTGGCTTTGATCTGATCAACACCCTGCTCTCGACGAAGCATAACGGGGTGATGCGATGCGTGCAGGATGCGCTTCGAGGCCTTTCCGAAGTCCTGCTGCGCTGCAGGGAACCCCTTTTTTACAGCTTGCCGAGCGAAATGGCCAACTACCTCATGGGGGAGGTCGGTGTGATGTCTAGTGATTCCTCTCGCATGCTTCGGCGCAGTCAAGGGCTGCCACATGCCATTCTTTCTATTTTGGATGCTGAAGACAGCTCCTTGCCGTGCTTTATCTTTCCAAGCGTCATGTCGAGGCTGTTGGCGTTGGTGCGTGAGGCACCCCTGTCAGAGGGGGATCAACCAGAAGCTGTGAAAACTCCGACAGAGGTACAGCTGAGTCGACGGTCAAACAGTCTTAACGTGCTCAAGTTTATTTTTGACGATAAGATTTTAGCCGAGCGCGCAATTCCTTACCTGGAGGAAGTATTTTTACTCGCAACCGAGGGGTTCAGCGACCCCAATTGGGGCATTCGAAACAGCTCCTTAATGCTTTTTTCCTCCGTGCTGCAGCGCTTTGTTGGGGAGCACCCCTCCACCGGAGGGGTGGGCGTCAACACCTCCTTGCACGACATCACCAGGCGAACCCCACGTGCGGTTTCTTTCGCCTTGAGGGTTCTTTCCCAAAGTTCCACCTCCCCATCAATACCGGGGTCCGTTTTTCCGAGCAACACCTCTAATTTAAGCATTTTCCCCGTACTGCAGATGCTTTCCATGCTCTCGCCCGATCCGGCGAATCTTTTACGCGACCCCCGTACGGATTCTTACGCCTCACAGGAGGGGGAGAAGGCGGGAGCTCCTGCCGCCATCGCCGGCGAGCCTCCCGATCACACGGATCTCCTCGTGGAGGCCGTGATGCGGTGTGGGGCGGATCGATGCCTCGCCGCTCGCACCGCCAGCGCGCGCGCGTTGGTGTGCGTGGTGCCTTGCTCGGACGTCCCCACGACCCTCCGGCGTCTCGCCACGCGTCATCTTCGTTCGCGCGGTGGCACGACGAATGGGATCCACGGCTGCCTCGTTCAGCTCCACCAGTTTCACATCCACTACGTCGGCACCCTAACCCGGCCTCAACGGCATGACCGGCTGAGCAGCAGGGCGACCCCCACCCTCGCCGCGGCGGTCGCGCAGGGCCTCGGCGAAATCCTCCTTCGCCATGGAGACGTCCTGGGGAGGGCCTGCCTCGCGTGCCCGGCCATCGCGGCCGCGGGTTTGGAATTAGTCAACGACCTCGTGTATTTCGGCCCGCCGAATGGTCTCAGTCGGGAGCCCCTCATGAGGTTATTGGCGTGGGCGATGTCGATCTTGGAGCGAAACCTCTTCGCCGCGAGTTCGGCTTTTGCGCGAGCGAAGGCGTATCATGGGGGGGTTCGGGAGGCTGGGGCGCTTTGCTTACTCCTGGCGGCCCGTTTTTTGCATCTTCATCCTAGCGACCAGGGCGGTGATGAATCGGAGGCGAGGATTCGCAGCTGCATCCAGCGCGTTTGGGCGCAGGGGGTCGGCACGTTGGATCTTGCCTATGGTTCCTACAATATCATTTCGCGTTTTCTAAACCATGTGCACATCTACACTACCGAGCGGCGTCTTTTTCCAAAGGAAGAGCTGATGGGGTTGGTTACGGAGGGCCTACGGACGGCGTACAATATAGACTTGCCCTCCGTATCATTGCGCGCCTTAACGAAAGCCCTCACGCAGCATTGCAGCGACCACACCCTGGGCTGTGTGGCCTGGGAGGAAGTAATGGCGCATCTCGAGTTCGCGGTATCCATGCTACTCCGCGGCACTCCTTTGGAAACGAGCGAGCTGCTGGATGCAGATTATCAGATCATCCAGGAGTGCGTGTTACCGCTCTTGGATTCTTCCAACACCTCTCACTCCAAACACGAAACGTGGCTTCACCCTCCCGAGTTTTGCGGCGTGGCGCTTCGTTTTGTGGTTCGCCGAAGCCTTCAGAAGGCATCAGCGCTACCTGAGAGAATCACTAAAATCTTGTCGGCGTATGCATGGGCGGAGAACCCACTGATTGTGCGCAAGGCCGTGTTGGAGGCCCTGTCCGATTGCTTTGAGGTGATTTCCGCCCGGCAAGAGCGGCCACAACCCACCGAGGGGAAGGGTTTGGCAGCCGTCGCCAAACCTAGGATGGAGGCTTCGCAGGCTATGGGACCTCTTCTACTCATCCTGGTAAGGCTTCTTTGTGATGACGCGGCGGAGGTGCGTGATGATGCGTGTCGGGTATGCCCATTAGTCTTGCGCGTGTGCGCCGCGCCCGATGTGGTAAACCTCGAGGCCTCTTCTGATTTTCTCGTGCAAGATCAAACTTCTTCACTCCTTTCCATAGTCCTGGTGCTGCGGCAGTTGGTGCGGGAGAAGAGGGTTTCCCTTCACGAAGTGGAGACCTTTCTGACGTCGAATGATTCATTACCTTTGCCCTTGCTAGAGGCCCCATATGAAGCCGCGACCCTCGTGGACGGCCTAGGCCCGATCGAGGCAGAGGATGACGAGATTGGGGATGACATCCTGTTTCAAAAGGAGCCGGATAACATGTTTATGGAGAAGGTCACCCTGGAATACATCGTGGACACTATCAAGAGTGCGCTTCATTCTCATGTGATACCCATGCACGGTGAACGGGTGGGGTATGGACCCTACAATGAGCTTTTGTCATCCGCAGAGTCCGCGAAAAGCCTCCGAGTTCGGATTATCGACTCTTTGGGTCAATGATTGACGAAGATTAGGGAGGGGACTCCCACTACACTTTTTTTTAGTTTTCACTCGCTTGCCTGAGCAAGTCAAACGATTCCCCGTTTAAGCTGAATAACAACTAATCCTAATAACTAAGGAATCGATTTCATCGATCCTCGATTAAAGTGAAGATGCCGTTCAAACCCTCTTCGTACCCACTGGTGCGCTAGATTGGATGCTTGTGTGCGGACGTCCGTCGAAATGGACGGCGGCCTTCCTCTCTTACCCCTCCTCTCCCTTTCCTCCTCTTTGCTGGTCCACCTATAGCGCTTTCAAGACGGGACCGCCTCCTCGGTCTTCGAAGAAAAACCCACCAAACGACACCCCATGCGGCGGGTATGGGCACGCCTCCCTTGGCCTTCCGGTCTCGCGTCCGCCCGCGCACCCCTGACGGCCTCGGGGGTTCGTTGGGGTTCCGACCACCGTCGGAATCGCCCCGCGCCGGAGAACGTCCTCGACCCCCTGACCCGCCCCACCCCGATCGACCCCGCCGTCCTGCACGTCGTCGCGGTCCCGATTGGCAACCTCAAGGACTTCACCCTGCGCGCCCTGGACGTCTTGCGCGCGGTGGACTACATCGTGACGGACGACCGCGTCGCGACACGGGCGCTGCTCGACCTCGTCCAGATCCCCTCGCAGGGCCGGCTGATCCACCACGGGCGGGGCCATTCCCCGAGCACCGCGGCCC